CTCGGTAATAAACTTTTTTTTTTTTAAATCCATTTTATACAATCCGCCTTCATTTAGCAAGTGCGCTCGCGCATAAACAATATTCAAGTTCAACACTTTTTGTTCTGTTCAGTTGTGAATGCTACTGATTCACCGAGACCACCACGGTTAAAGAGTTGGCAGTCAAAATTAAAACTGCTGGATGATAGATACTCTTCATTCCTTATGACAAATAAGATAATGTGAATTACAGAATGTACAGCGTTTTTAAAAGATGGAAACTAGGCTATGTCTAGCTTGCGCGTTAATCATTTTAATGTTAATTTAATAGTTGTTCTTTTTGCTTTAGTGCAACAGATAAATAACAATTTATATGTTTTAGACACTTTATGTTTAGATCATTTCTATTTTGCGGGAGTCCCGCAAATCATTTTATTCTCCCGCATCCCGCACACACACGAGTCTCTTCCCGCCCGCACCCGCACTCGCCCATCAAGAGTTGTCCCGCGCCGCACCCTGTTGCATTGGGATCCCCCGCGGTACTCCCGCGGGAGTGCAGGTCTCTAATAGGATGCAATAAAAGTAACATACCTTCACCTCTCCCTCTTCTGACAGGTTGTCGGAGAGACGAGGAGAGGTGATTTCATTGACCAGATCATTGTTAGGGGTCTTGTTCTTCATTCGAGGTTTCCTCTTTCTGGGTTTGGTCTGGGAGGTGGGAAGATACAAAGAATGAAAATGTCATTAAATATATTGTCTGAAACTGATTTTTAGTACATGATAAGACCACCTATTTTTCAAAATGCCTTTGCTAACGCATTTTTGCTTAAAGCTGCTGGTCCAAAACTGTGTATGGCCACCAAAAAGTTATCTAATCCTTACCACCACTTTACAATATCATATTGTCCTCCAAACCAATAGGTGTCGCAAGTCTAAAAACCTGCAAACCTGAAAAACCCACAATCCTTACCTCATCTCCCGTTTTAGCAGCATCTTGGCTTTCTTGCTCCTTCTTCAGCATCTTAAGCAAGTAGTCTGCTCGCATCTGTAACTGCTTTGCCTGAGGTTTCTTTTCAGGGTCATCTAGGAGAATCTACAAAACAAGACAACAGGACATTTGAGGTCAGGTAAGGCAAACTTGCACATTGTTGATGCTGCTTATTTAACTGTGAGCAAGCAGTAATTTGACTTAATAACGTACCTTCTCAGAAAGTCTGAGATCAGGATCGGTCTTGATCAGGTCCCAGTTGCCGTAGCCGTTTCACGGTATTTAGAAGTGCCCACGATAACAATATCGTGCATATTCATTAACGTGATATATCGCATTACCGAATACTGGCACAAGTCTAATAGTGCAGCTATCAGATTTTTTTCTAATTCTACTTCCTCAAATTCTAGATTTTGTTTTATACCTCAATTCAACGGCCTCAATTGAACTGGGGTTTAAAAGACATTCTCAAATCAATTTTGAATGGTGCACCACCCTGGAATATATATTTATTTGGACTGAAACTGAACTGACTGAAACTGAAGTTCCCCAATAAACCCATCAAATCATATTCAAGTGGCTTGATTAAATCTCCACCCAGCAACTCAGCAACTGTAGCAACTCAACTATGTACTATATTATGAAAAATAATCTACAATATAGCTTTCATTAGGACTCACTTGTTCCTTTCAGCAGGATTTGAAGGCACAATATCCCAGTCTACGTCAAAGTGTGGAGTCTTCACCCGACAGGTCAGCTGAAATCTAGCCAAATGGAAAACTTCACTGACTCTTTTCAGTCTCATTTTATTCCTTATTTAGAAATGGATCAGGGTTGGGAAAACGTCATAATCAAATGCTTTAAAAATGCATTAGATGCAATTAGAATTTAAATTGGCTGTGTATCATAAAAAGAGGAATTTGACAGAAAATTTAAAGTGACACAGCAGAGAAAATCTATTAGTCCATTAGATTGTGATTTTATTTTGATTATGCCCATTTTTTTCAACTGTTTATATATTTTCAATACAGTCAAAATTTACCACATTATGTTCAGACAACTTTATACATTTTGGCAGACAAATTTAAGTCTATAAACACTGGCAACAAAATCTATTGATTACATAATATTGAGTAAACTGGATATTTGTGCTGGATAATAGACTTAGCATTGACCTGAACTCCAGAGATCTTTATGTTAATGCCTCGTCTTTTCCCCGGGCCTTTAGCTGCAACAAAGAAATAATACAAATTAAAGATGATTAAAAAAAAAAAAAAGGAAATTAATCACTCTTTTGACTCAGCACTGCTATTAACATTCACACACCTTCCACAGGGTTTTCTTTCATGTGCTCCTCATGCTCCTGCACTGCAGTCACACAGGTGTTGTGCACCAGTTCCCCGAGTCTCTTCAGGTCTGCAATGGACTTATCCACCAGCTCAGAGTCACGGGCAATCGCCTCCAACCTGTACAAAACACCATATCCAGTTCAGTACTACTTTTAATTGGACTACATGTTGTTGCTGTTAATTTAAAAACTATTAAAAATGGTTTCTGTTAATTGAAATAAAGCTGAATTAAAATAGAAATATTAGATGAAAAACAAACAGGTCAACAATTCTAATTTTTTTTTTTTTAAGTTGAAGTACTAAAAACTAAAACTGAAATGTAAATGAAAGCTAAATAAAAAATATTATAAAAGCCAAAACTCAAAAAAATGACAAAATCAAAAAGTATAGCAATGAAATATAAATCAAAATATTAGTAAATATTATAATAGTATATAAATAATACTAACATAACATTGTTCAGTACTGCTTCTCACTGGACTAAATCATTAAAAAAGATAACTAAAAACATCACTAATTATTAAAGACATGGTTCACCCAAAAATTGTTTACTAATATTAGCATTATTTACTTGCAAACCCGTATGCTGTCATTTCTTCATTACTGTTATTATTTTGTTTATTTATTTAATACTGTGAGAAGAGATGATGCCAACCCCCCCAGAAGACCTCAGATGATGCCAACCCTCAGACAACATACCAAATTATATTGCTATAAGTTTGATCGCAACATATAATCATTGCTGTTAATAGTGTTCACCGTCTGTTTGATTACATGACATTAACTAACTGCTCGATTTTTACCGTACATTTCTGCCATATGGACATCAACTTATCACCACTGATAACTTATTACTAAATATAATGTAGAAACTTTAATTTTCTGTAAAGCTGCTTTGCAACAATTTGCATCGTGAAAAGCGCTATACAAATAAACTTGAATTGAACTAAACTGAATATTACTGTACTTTTCAATTCAGGGTGACCTATTCCTTTATATAGAATACAAAATTTGGCATTGCAACAAAAAATATAATTTATCATAGTATTTCTTACCTCTCAAGCGGAGCTCCAAATTTCTTGTATGCTTTTATAAACCTACAATAAATAGACCATTAAGTAAATGAAATGTTTACAGCAAAGCCCTCTCTTAAATTAGTAAGTGGATGCTAAGTTATATTACCTGCGGATCTCTGCGTCAGTAAATCCCTCCACATTGTTTTTGCGAGCTCTCGGCCTGCCTCTTCGCTTGGGCCGTTTGTCATCCTCACTATCATCTGTTTCACTGTCTGAAGCCGAGGATCTGTGCTTCAGTTTGGATCCCACGTCACTGTCACTGTCATTGGCCTGCGCCTAAAATCACCACAATACACCTTTTAAAAAATGCGCTATGGACATAGCCTTGCAGAATGTATTTTTCTTGAATTCTCTCCATTAGTGTTCATTTTGTCAGCTATTTTCATTTTAGTCTTAGTCCCGGGCTAAAATGTCCTTGTTAGTTTTTATCATATTTAGTCAACCTTATCCTATTTAGTTTTAGTCAAGTTTTAGTCGACTAAAAGTCTCAACATTTTAGTCTAGTTTTAGTCCAAGAAAATCTAAAGTATTTTAGTCTAGTTTTAGTCGAAGAAAACCTGAAGTATTATAGTCTAGTTTTAGTCAATGAAAACTTGACATTTTAGCAATAAGATTATTATTAATCAACCATTCAGCAGTGTAGCATCTGGACCAATCAGACACACCATTTTTCATTTGATTTAACAAATCAATTTTTCATTAGATTAACAAATAATCACAGACCCCTCACCCAATAAACATGCTGGGTGCCAGGATGTCTGCGAACGAACAG